GCCAGGATGAAGGACAGACCGCCGAAGTAGAATGACCAGCCGTAGGAATAATGCCACTTCTTATCCTCGTCCTTCTTGGGGGAGATGTCGCTCAGTGCTGCCGAGATGTACACGATCACTCCAATGATGTTGCTGAGGCCTAAAGAAAGATACAAGAGAGATACAAGTGCTCCTCTGAGTCAAATTAACCTGCTGGCTCATTAAATTGTTTTGCAGACAGACTTTCTGGAAGTGCTTCCTTTCAATTACACTGAGAAGAGGCAAGCACAGTATGACAGTCAATCTGCACGTCATACATAAGGAGATTAATCTAACTACACGACTGATAGATATAGGTTCATCCTGGCATGGGCAGATTATCTTAAGCTGTATAATGTATATGCTAGGTCGTGTTTCATGGCTCATGCTACATGAATATAATAAAAAAAGAAGCATCTAAGTGTTCAGGAATTCTTTTTAGTAACAGAATACGGAGATTTTAAGGACACGGTATCTGTTAGGGATTACAAAGTCGGCCGGGGTAAAATACAAACTGCCCGTTTTAGTGTTAATAAAAAATGTAGCAAACATACCTTCAAACAAAATCTTCTTTTCAAACTCTGACTGGAAATATAGATTTCTTTTCCCAAACCACAGTAAAGCTGCAGCCTTACCTGCAGCTACAAAGAGAATCCCTCCACCGAGAATAATGTTCCTTTTGCTTTTATAGAATCCACTGGAAGCAACACACACTCCACCCAGAAGAAGCAATATGGCACTGAGGATGGGGAAGATGCTGGAAGCTCTCACCACACCTGCACGAGACAGCAGACGAGAGCGTCATTGTTTTGGCTGCAGTGCTGCTGTTTACAGTCCGTGCACGTGAATCTGATATACGACTGAGTCTGTACTTTTCTAATAGCGGTTCATTAACGCGTTTTCTTCTTGAGGTTCAACACCACTTGAAGGTGCAAAGTTAACAGCCTTGTGACACTTCTGAGGAATAAAAGTGTTACCGATGCTTGGCACAGCTGACACAAATTGCCACAAATTGGCTGTGGAACAGCAGATGTCTTTTTATATGTTTCCTACATTATATTTTATATGGCACATAACGTCTTTCGAGTCCCCGAGTTTTTCCAAGACTAAATAAAAATAGTTAGATGGCATGTCATCTTAAAACTAGAGAAGAAAGCTATTTTTTT